CCCCCACCCCCATCCCGACAGCGTCGCGGGAGATCTTTAACGTCCACCCGAACAGGGCACAGACGGGGAGGGGAGCGAGTGGGGTTTAACCCCTCCTCAGAAGGAGGGCGTCCCTGACGATGCCCCTCTCTCTCTCTCTCTCTCTCTCTCGTTCTCTCCCCCCTCCCCCCCCCCCCCCACCACCCCCAGCGCTGGGCTGGAAAACGTCAGCCCCGACTGTGAGCTGAGAGTCCCCGACTTGGGGGCTCGAACCCACAACCTCCTGACCTGGGAGTCCAGAGCACTACCGTGTGGGGCAAGAACGTGCCCTTTCCCCACTTCAGGCCCTCTGCCCCCCTCGTGCCGGTCCCAATCTCTCTCCCCTCCACCCCCACGTGTGCGTTCCCCCCCTCTCTCTCTCTCTCTCTCTCCCTCAGTCTCTCCACCAGACCCCCTGTCTCTCTCTCTCTCTCTATCTATCTTTTTCGCCCTCCGCCTCCCACCCGCTGTGTGTGAGGGTGTGTGTGTGCGTGTGAGGGTGTGTGTGTGGGGGGGGGTCTCTCACAGCAGGTCGGGCCGGTGTCAGTGTGTGTGAGGGTGTGTGTGTGGGGGGGGGTCTCTCACAGTAGGTCAGAACAGTGTGTGTCAGTGTGTGTGAAGGTGTGTGTGCGTGTGTGTGTGGGGGTGTGTGTGAGGATGTGTGTGTGTGTGTCAGTGTGTGTGAGGGTGTGTGTGTGGGTGTGTGTGAGGGTGTGTGTCAGTGTGTGTGGGTGTGTGTGTGTGTGTGAGGGTGTGTGTGTGGGGGGGGGTCTCTCATAGCAGGTCGGAACGGTGTGTGTGGGTGTGTGTGAGGGTGTGTGTGTGTGGTGGGGGGTCCCTCACAGCAGGTCAGAACGGTGTGTGTGAGTGTGTGTGAAGGTGTGGGTGCGGGTGTGTGAGGGTGTGTGTGAGGGTGTGTGTGTCAGTGTGTGTGGGGGTGTGTGTGAGGGTGTGTGCGTGTGGGGAGGTCTCTCACAGCAGGTCGGGCTGTGTGTGAGGGTGTGTGTGAGGGTGTGTGTGGGGGTGTGTGTGAGGGTGTGTGTGGGGTGTGTGAGGGTGTGTGTGAGGGTGTGTGTGAGGGTGTGTGTGAGGGTGTGTGTGAGGGTGTGTGTGGGGGTGTGTGTGGGGGGGGGGTGTGGGGGTGTGTGTCAGTGTGTGTGTCAGTGTGTGTGAGGGTGTGTGTGAGGGTGTGTGTGTCAGTGTGTGTGAGGGTGTGTGTGTGAGGCTGTGTGTGTCAGTGTGTGAGGCTGTGTGTGTGTCAGTGTGTGAGGTTGTGTGTGTCAGTGTGTGTGTGGGGAGGGTGATTGTGTCAGTGTGTGTGGGGGTGTGTGTGAGAGTGTGTGTGGGGGTGTGTGTGGGTGTGTGTGTGGGGGTGAGGTCGGGCCGGTGTGTGGGGGTGTGTGTGAGGGTGTGTGTCAGTGTTTGTGAGGGTGTGTGTCAATGTGTGTGAGGGGGTGTGTGAGGGTATGTGTGAGGGTAGGGGTGTGTCTGAAGGTGTGTGTGAGGGTGTGTGTGTGGGTGTGTGTGTCAGTGTGTGTGAGGGTGTGTGTGAGGCTGTGTGTGGGGGTGTGTGTGGGGGTGTGTGTGAGGGTGTGTGTGGGGGTGTGTGTGAGGGTGTGTGTGAGGGTGTGTGTGTCAGTGTGTGTGTGTGGGTGTGTCAGTGTGTGTGGGGGTGTGTGTGGGGGTGTGTGAGGGTGTGTATGTGTGAGGGTGTGTGTATGGGTGTGTGTGGGGGTGTGTGTGGCGGTGTATGTGTGGGTGTGTGTCAGTGTGTGTGAGGGTGTGTGTCAGTGTGTGTGGGGGTGTGTGTGGGGGGGTGTGAGGGTGTGTGTGAGGGTGTGTGGGGGTGTGTGTGGGAGTGTGTGTGAGGGTGTGTGTCAGTGTGTGTGAGGGTGTGTGTCAGTGTGTTTGGTGGGGTGTGTGTCAGTGTGTGTGGGGGTGTGTGTCAGTGTGTGTGGGTGTGTGTGAGGGTGTGTGTGAGGGTGTGTGAGTGTGTGTGTGGGTGTGTGTGTGAGGGTGTGTGTGGGTGTGTGTGGGGGTGTGTGTGAGGGTGTGTGTGGGGTTGTGTGTGAGGGTGTGTGTGGGGGTGTGTGTGAGGGTGTGTGTGTGGGGTTGTGTTTGGGGGTGTGTGTGAGGGTGTGTGTGGGGGTGTGTGTGGGGGTGTGTGTCAGTGTATGTGTGGGTGTGTGTGGGGGTGTGTGTGAGGGTGTGTGTGTCAGTGTGTGTGAGGGTGTGTGTGTGGGTGTGTGTGTGTGGGTGTGTGTGTCAGTGTGTGGGGGTGTGTGTGGGGGTGTGTGTCAGTGTGTGTGAGGGTGTGTCTGGGGGTGTGTGTGAGGGTGTGTGTGGGGGTGTGTGTGGGGGTGTGTGTGTCAGTGTGTGGGGGTGTGTGTGGGCGTGTATGTGTGGGTGTGTGTCAGTGTGTGTGAGGGTGTGTGTGGGGGTGTATGTGGGGTGTTGTCAGTGTGTGTGTGTGTGTGTGAGGGTGTGTGTGCGGGTGTGTGTGGGGTGTGTGTGGGGGTGTGTGTGTGTGTGTGAGGGTGTGTGAGGGTGTGTGTGGGTGTGTGTGAGGGTGTGTGTGGGTGTGTGTGTGAGGGTGTGGGTGTGGGTGTGTGTGAGGGTGTGTGTGAGGGTGTGTGTGTGGGGGTGTGTGTGGGTGTGTGTGTGTGGGGGTGTGTGTCAGTGTGTGTGAGGGTGTGTGTGAGGGTGTGTGAGGGTGTGTGAGTGAGGGTGTATGTGTGTGTGTGGGTGTGTGTGAGGGTGTGTGTGTGGGTGTGTGGTGGGTGTGTGTGGGGGTGTGTGTGTGGGTGTGTGTGTGGGGGTGTATGTGTGGGTGTGTGTGAGTGTGTGTGTGGGTGTATGTGTGGGTGTGTGTCAGTGTGTGTGAGGGTGTGTGTGTGGGTGTGTGTGTGGGTGTGTGTCAGTGTGTGTGAGGGTGTGTGTGGGGGTGTGGGGGTGGGTGTGTGTGGGTGTCTCACAGTAGGTCGGGCCGGTGTCAGTGTGTGTGAGGGTGTGTGTGTGGGTGTGTGTGTGGGTGGGTGTGGGGGTGTGTGTGGGTGTGTGTGTATGTGTGTGTGTTAGTGAGGGTGTGTGTGAGGGTGTGTGTGTGTGGGTGTGTGTGGGGGTGTATGTGTGGGTGTGTGTCAGTGTGTGTGAGGGTGTGTGTGAGGGTGTGTGTGAGGGTGTGTGTGTGGGTGTGTGTCAGGGTGTGTGTGTCAGTGTGTGTGAGGGTGTGTGTGAGGGGGTGTGTGAGGGTGTGTGTGTGGGTGTGTGTGACGGTGTGTGTGAGGGTGTGTGTGAGGGTGTGTGTTGGGGTGTGTGTGGGTGTGTGTGTGGGTGTGTGTCAGTGTGTGTGAGGGTGTGTGTGAGGGTGTGTGTGTGGGTGTGTGTGTGTGTGTGAGTGTGTGTGTGGGGTGTGTGTCAGTGTGTGTGTGGGTGTGTGTGAGGGTGTGTGTGTGGGTGTGTGTCAGTGTGTGTGAGGGTGTGTGTGGGTGTGTGTGAGGGTGTGTGTGACAGTGTGTGTGTGGGTGTGTGTCAGTGTGTGTGTGTGTGAGGGTGTGTGTGTGGGTGTGTGTGTGTGTGTGTGTGAGGTGTGTGTGAGGGTGTGTGTGACGGTGTGTGTGAGGGTGTGTGTGAGGGTGTGTGTGAGGGTGTGTGTGTGTGTGTGTGTGAGGGTGTGTGTGGGGGGGTGTGTGTGGGGGTGTGTGTGGGTGTGTGTCAGTGTGTGTGTGGGTGTGTGTGTGGCTGTGTGTGTGAGGGTGTGTGTGAGGGTGTGTGTGAGGGTGTGTGTGGGTGTGTGTGTGTGTGTGTGTGAGGGTGTATGTGAGGGTGTGTGTGTGGGTGTGTGTGTGTGTGTGTGTGAGGGTGTGTGTGAGGGTGTGTGTCAGTGTGTGAGGGTGTGTGTGAGTGTGTGTGAGGGTGTGTGTCAGTGTGTGTGAGGGTGTGTGTGAGGGTGTGTGTGGGGTGTGTGTCAGTGTGTGTGACGGTGTGTGTGTGGGTGTGTGTGAGTGTGTGTGTGTCAGTGTGTGTGTGGGTGTGTGTGAGGGTGTGTGTGTCAGTGTGTGTGAGGGTGTGTGTCAGTGTGTGTGTGGGTGTGTGTGTGTGTGAGGGTGTGTGTGAGGGTGTGTGTCAGTGTGTGTGGGTGTGTGTGTGAGGGTGTGTGTGGGGGTGTGTGTGAGGGTGTGTGTGAGGGTGTGTGTCAGTGTGTGTGAGGGTGTGTGGGGGGGTGTGTGTGAGGGTGTGTGTGGGGGTGTGTGTCAGTGTGTGTGTGGGTGTGTGTGAGGGTGTGTGTGAGGGTGTGTGGGGGTGTGTGTGGGGGTGTGTGTGGGGGTGTGTGTCAGTGTGTGTGAGGGTGTGTGTCAGTGTGTGTGGGGGTGTGTGAGGGTGTGTGTGAGGGTGTGTGTCAGTGTGTGTGTGGGTGTGTGTGAGGGTGTGTGTGTCAGTGTGTGTGAGGGTGTGTGTCAGTGTGTGTGACGGTGTGTGTGTCGGTGTGTGTGAGTGTGTGTGTGTCAGTGTGTGTGTGGGTGTGTGTGTGTGTGTGTGAGGGTGTGTGTCAGTGTGTGGGGGTGTGTGTGTGGGTGTGTGTGGGTGTGTGTGAGGGTGTGTGTGAGGGTGTGTGTGGGTGTGTGTGAGGGTGTGTGTGAGGGTGTGTGTGTGAGGGTGTGTGTGGGTGTGTGTGTGTGTGGGTGTGTGAGGGTGTGTGTGGGGGTGTGTGTGTCAGTGTGTGTGGGGGTGTGTGTGAGGGTGTGTGTGTGGGTGTGTGTCAGTGTGTGTGTGGGTGTGTGTGAGGGTGTGTGTGGGGGTGTGTGTGAGGGTGTGTGTGTGGGTGTGTGTGTGGGTGTGTGGGTGTGTGTGAGGTGTGTGTGTGTGTGAGGGTGTGTGTGAGGGTGTGTGTGAGGGTGTGTGTGAGGGTGTGTGTGTGGGTGTGTGTGTGGGGGGGTGTGTGTGAGGGTGTGTGTGAGGGTGTGTGTGTGGGGGTCTCTCACAGTAGGTCGGGCCGGTGGCGGTGAATGATGGCACAGAACGCCAGTCCGTCCCTGAAGCTCGACGTCATGTTCTTCACGTCCACATCGCGGTACCCGGAGCACTGCTGTCGGGCCCAGTCCTGCAGCGCGCGGGTCGCCATGACAGCGGCACCGGGACCCGCACCGGGACCGGGACCCGCACCGACAGCAGCTCAACCCCCGCGACTCCGGCTCCGGCTCCGCGGCCCCGACACAGACTCCACCCCGACTCCCCACAGCACAGCGCCACCCACCCCTCCACCCCACCCCCCGCCGGCGGCGGCGCCACCTCCTCCTCACAGCGCCCCCCGGCGGCACCTGTCCCTCACAGCAACACCACCTCCTCCTCACAGCGCCCCCCGGCGGCACCTGTCCCTCACAGCAACACCGCCTCCTCCTCACAGCGCCCCCCGGCGGCACCTGTCCCTCACAGCAACACCCGCCTCCTCCTCACAGCGCCCCCCGGCGGCACCTGTCCCTCACAGCAACACCGCCTCCTCCTCACAGCGCCCCCCGGCGGCACCTGTCCCTCACAGCAACACCGCCTCCTCCTCACAGCGCCCCCGGCGGCACCTGTCCCTCACAGCAACACCACCACCTCCTCCTCACAGCGCCCCCCGGCGGCACCAGCGCCTCACAACGGCCACTGGTGCAGCCACCCCGCGGCGGCACCAGCCACCCACAGCGCCCTCTGGTGGCACCACACCTTCATAGCACCCGCCAGCGGCTCCCCACAGCGCCCCCCCGCGGCCCCCGGGGGGCACCTCAGTGGCTGCGCTGAATTGGCTCCAATGGGAGGTGTTTGGCAAAGGAATGTGGGAATGGACCCCCTGTGACGGTCCCCACAATAATAACAGTAATAATAATAATAATAATCTTTGCACTTGTTATGAGCGCCTCATCAGGTTATCGAGACGGTCTCTCGTCCCGTTCTCGCTCGCTCTCTCTCTCTCTCTCTCTCGTTCGAGCCGCCCCCCACCCCCCCCCCCCCCCGTGTGAGGGTCTCTAGTCCCCGGATCCTGAGCCCGGAGGGTGTGCGGCCCGGCCCGGCCCACCGGCAGGACCTGGAAGGGCCGACCAGTCACTGGGGGGGGGGGGGGGTGGGGGGGTGGGGGGGGTGGGGGGGAAACCCTGGACAAGCAGCGGGAAAGCTCGGCCGGACAGCGCTCTCTCTCTCTCTCTCTCAATGGCTGAGCTCTGTGTGTGGGTTTAACATAACATAACATATAGAGCAGAAAGACATTCGGCCCTTCGAGCCTCTGCCCCACCATTCACTCATGGCTGATCTTCTAATCTAACTCCAGCTAATAACCTGACCCCGACTTACCCCCATATCCCCCCTCCCCCCCCACCCCTGCCTTATCCCATATCCCCCCCCCCCCACCCCTGCCTTATCCCCATATCCCCTCCCCCCCCCCTGCCTTATCCCCATATCCCCCCCCCCCACCCCTGCCTATCCCCATATCCCCCCCCCCCACCCCTGCCTTATCCCCATATACCCCCTCCCCCCCCCCTGCCTTCCCATATCCCCCCCCCCCCCCCCCTTCCCCCCCCCCCCCCCCCCTGCCTTATCCCCATATCCCCCTCCCCCCCCCCTACCCCATATCCCCCCCCCCCCCTGCCTTATCCCCATATCCCCCTCCCCCCTCACCCCATCCCTACCTGCCTTATCCCCATATCCCCTCCCCCCCCTGCCTATCCCATCCCTTCCCACCCCTGCCTTATCCCATATCCCCCTCCCCCCTCACCCTGCCTTATCCCCATATCCCCCCCCCCCCCTCTGCCTTATCCCCATACCCCCCTCCCCCCCACCCCTGCCTTATCCCCCTATCCCCCATATCCCCCCCCCCTCCCCCCCTCCACCCCCCTGCCTTATCCCCATATCCCTTAATCCCTTTTGCAATAAGAAATCTATGTATCTCAGTCTTGAATATGTTCAAGGACTGAGCATCAACAGCACTTTGGGGTAGTGAGTTCCATACATTCACTGCCCTTTGAGTGAAGAAGTTCTTCGTCAACTCAGTGCGAAAGGGTTGGCCTCTGATTTTAAGGTTGTGACCCCTGGTTTTAGTTTCTCCAACCGGGGAAACACTCTCCCACTATCTACTCTATCATTGCCTTTGATGATCTTATAGGTTTCTATAAGATCCCCTCTAATTCTTCTGTATTCTGAAGAATATAGGCCCAAATTGGTCATCCTATCCTCGTAACTCATCCCCTCCATCCCTGGTACTAACCGAGTAAATCTACACTGCACCCCCTCCAAAGCAAGTACATCCTTCCTTAAATAAGGAGACCAAAACTGGACACAGTATTCCAGGTGTGGTCTCACAGGGCCCTATACAGTTGCAGCGAGACTTCCCTACTCTTATACTCTAATCCTTTCATAATGAACGCTAACATACGGTTCGCCTTCCTAATTGCTGTGATTGGTGTACAAGGACACCCGAGTCCCTCTGGACACTAACACCTTCCAATCTCTCCCATTTTAAAACATAACCCGCTGTAGTGTTTTTGCTCCCGAGGCGGATGACTTCTCACTTCCCTGCATTATACTTCATGTCCCACCCACCTGCCCAATCACCTCACCTATCTATGTCTCTCTGCATTTTTTTAATGTCATCCTCTGTGTTAACACTTCCCCCTAGTTTTGTGTCATCTGCGAATTTAGATATATTATCTTTGTTGTCCTCATCTAGATCGTTGGTGTAGATGGTAAATAGCTGAGGCCCAAGGACTGATCCTTGTGGCATTCCACTAGTCACATCCCGCCAATCTGAAAAGGACCCGTTTATCCCTACTCTTTGTTTCCTACCCGTTAACCATTCCCCAATCCACGTTAATATGCTCCCCCCAATTCCATGGGCCCTTATCTTTTGGACTAACCTTTTATGCGGCACCTTATCGAATGCCTTCTGGAAGTCCAAATAGACCACATCCACTGATTCACCCTTATCCAGTTTAGTTTTAGGTGGTTAGACTCCAGCGGTTACCCCCAACACACACTCTGGGCTCCCCCCCTCCCCCCCCCCAAGCCTTAGCTGTTGCCAACCCGCACCTGATTAATTAATAATAATCCTTGCATTTGATATAGCGCCTTATTGTGTTGTTGCAAAAACAGTGGAACCTGATGAGAGTGGGTGTCCTCTCTCTCTCTCTCTTACAGTCTGCCTTTTGGCGGCTCATGATGGAGACGGAGAGAGACAGAGAATAAAGGCGAACATTGACGTGAAAGCAGAAAGGTCTTCAACTTTTGCTTCTGATTAAATGCTCAACTCAAAATGCCTTTATTGTTTAAAGTCATGATTAGGATTCAGTTAGCATCAGACACTTTAGCCAAAATGGACAGAATCAAGTGGTTTCTTATCCCAAGGTTCCGTCCTCCCAGTACAACTCTGAGTGACTCCAGACTGATAAGACTCACACACACGCATACATACACACACATATATATATATATATATACATACATACTAACACACACAAACACACTCTCGTGCACACACACATAATAATAATCCTTGCATTTGATACAGCGCCTTATCATGTCTTCGAGACGTCTCAAAGCGCTTCACAGGAACATACCGTAAAGTGAATTGACTGTAATATTTTGTGGGCGAAACGCGGCAGCCGATTGCGCACAGCAGCGTCCCCACAAACAGTGGTAGACCTAGTGACCAAATTATTATTATTTCTTTTGGAGTGATTATTACCCCCAGAAAGCGATCCGCCAATCGGCTAACAACCGGGCTCCTACTTACTGCTGGGTAAATAGAGGCGCGCGCGCGAGCGTTTGTGTGTGTGTGGCGTAAGGAAACTTGCTTAAGGTTTCGTCCCGCCCCGGAATCGAACCCGGGTCCTCTCGCTTGCGAGGCGAGGGCTCCAACCAATACACTGCAGCACTCCAGGGCTTACGTACACACACACACAGGGAGATATTTGAGGCAATATGTGTAGAAGATTTTGTTCTGTTTCAGATTTCATCTCCACTCACTGCCCGGGGCTGTACGGGATGAGCTCATTGCTCGCGTTTAACCCTCACACGAGAGGAACCCTACGGCGAAGGCTCATTTCCTGCGTATGTGAGTGAATTGCAGTCAGTGCGAATTTGGGATGAATGAGTGAAACACCACAGAAATGGGAGAGAGGAGTGAGATGGGTCAGTACACGCTCGAGGTCCAATGTGGACAGATTGTGACGCCCAATGCTGACTGAGGCTTAAGACCAGAGAAGGTCCCCAACTCCTTTACCCTCTCCACGCCCTCCCACCCCCCCACCTCCCACTCACGCGCACACGCACGCACTCACGCGCGCGGGCGGAATCGAGCAGGACGACCCCATGGTCTAGTTAATCGAGTTACGCGGCGCAGTGGTTATTTCCAAGTAAAAGACAAAGAAAGAGTTTCACAGAAACCTCGATGCGGCCGACATGACGCAACTGAAAAGAAAAAAGGCTCGAATTTGCGGCTCCTCGTCACGGACCCCCCCCCCCACCCTCAGTGACACCCCGTGACCACCCGACCCTCAGTGACCCCCCCGCCCCGACCCCCAGTGACCTCCAGACCCTCTGTGACCCGGGATAGACCCTCAACAGAGGGTTGGGGGGGGAATGGGGGAATCCAGTAAAAAAAAATCCCCCCGAAAAACAAAATCGATAGAGAAAACCTTATATATAAAATGTATATATATACGTTAAGGTCAGTGACTATGGCAACCATTTCATGATACAACATATTGGTCAATATTGGTTCAATCCGAACTCCCCCACCCCAGCCCTGTGGGGGGGGAAAAGCCCCGACCCCTCAAAGGGGCAAATCCCATTCTTACTCTCCATTATTCCTTCGATGACAATGTGTCCCCCAACAACCCCCAATCTTTTTTGGGGCGGGGGAGGTGTTAGAAAGTGCTAGCCCTCTCCGCGCTCTCTGATGGCGAGGGGAATGGGCTCAGAACGCCAGCATTCTGGGGCAAATCGGCCCCCAATCCACCCCCCACCCCCCCACACCTTCCATCAGCCGGGGCTCGAGTCCTAGAGGTGCAGTAGTGCCAACTTTCCTGTGGTCATAGAGAGAGAGAGAGAAAGAGAGAGAGAGACACAGAGAAGAGAGAGACGGAGAGAGACACAGAGAGAAGAAGAGACAGAGACGTACAGAGAGGGTGACACACACACCCACAGACGGAGACATACATACAGAGACAGAGAGATTCAGGAGAGAGAGGGTCATAGAGAGAGACACAGAAAGTGAGAGAGAGAGAGAGAGCTGGAGGGAGAGAAAGAAAGAGAGAGGCAAGCAGAGAGAGAGAGAGAGAGACACAGAGAGGGGTCGTGGTACCTCTCTCCTTGTCTCTCTCTCTCTCTCACACACTCTCACCAAGAGGACACCAACATTGGGCTCGTTCACACAGAACCTTATTGCACTGAAGCACCCCAGGATTTGGGGGGTGGGTGGGTGGGTGGGTGGGGGGGGAAAGGGGGGAATAGAGGAACAAGGCCTGGGCCAACACCGAGTCTATCACTGACCTACTCGTGCGAGCGAGAGAGAGAGAAAGCTACCACTGAGCCAGGCTGACGCACACACGCTCTCTCTCTCTCTCTCTCTCTCTCAAGGTCCCGCGTCACACTGTAGGAGCGGCAAACTGTTCACCAACAGGTAGCGAGTGACATGTAGCGGGAATAGCGGAGGCTCCGTGAACAGGATGGGTCTTCTCCCTCCAGAAGAGCAAGGTAGGTCCAAAGCAGCTGGTCTCGAGGTTCGTTTTGCCCCGATTTAGTGGTATGAAACATGGCAACTCATCACATTAACAGCGTGTAGTGACTGCGAATTACTGGCACGCGAAAGTGGCAACAACGTCTTGGCTTTAAGGTCCCACCTGATTGCAACCAAGCCATCGAGGGAGTTGACGGACGGAGCCCAAGGCCGTGCGAGAGTGTCAAGGGTTTAAGATGGCGGCTTGTTGATCGATCGCTCTCATTGATTAGCTACAGTATTGGAAATTGGTCGATCGCTTGAGTGTGTCCTCCTCCGATGCTGCGGTAAGGCTCGTTTGGGAACGACAAAGCACAGTAATAATCCTTGGCTTGGGAGGACGTTTCAAAGTGCTCCAGGACGCCAGGAGAGAGAGGGGGAGAAGCCCCTTTCTCTTTACCCCCCCCCCCCCACACACACACACAGCGTGGCGGGGGATCTTGAACGTCCTCCTGAACTGGGCACAGACGGGGAGCGAGCGAGGTTTGACATCTCACCCGAAGGAGGGGGTCTCTGACGAGGTGTCTCGCTCTCTCTGGCTTTCTCTCTCCCCCCCCGCCCCCCCGCCCCAACGCTGGACTGGAACGTCAGCCTAGACTGTGAGCTCACAGTCCCCGACGTGGGGCTCGAACCCACAATCTTCTGATTCGGAGGCGAGCGAGCGAGAGAGCGAACCTGCATACGGGCGAGTTGCAAAAAGAGGTGGGACACTGTAAAGTGTAGTGACTGTGTGTTCTGTGGGCGGCAGCCAATTGCGCCCAGCGACATCCCCACAAACAGTCGTGGGTCGAGTGACCACATCATTATTATTATTTTGGGGGGCTGTGGGGAAGAGGAAGGCACTAAATCTGGGGGGAAGTTGCAGCCCCCTCCCCCACCCCCACCCCCCAAGACTAGATCGACCTCACGGCATCTCAGGCGTCCTCTACATCGACCCCTTTGCGTTCGAAGCCCTTTCACTCACTCCCAGAAGGTGCTTCGAAGTGCTTCGCTAGCCTTTTACACCAGGAAGTGTAGTGACTATGTAGTGGCTATGTAGTGGGGATGGATGGGGGGGGGCGGGGCGGGGGGGTCCATGGGGGGAAGGAAACAACGATGGGGGAGGGTGGGACCGGAAACAAACAAGATTGTTTTTTTTTTGCTTCCCCCTCTCTCTCCCTCCACTGTCCCTCTCTCTCTCTCTTTCTCTCTCTCCCCCTTCCTCTCTCTCCACTTCGTTCAAAAGTCTGGTCCCAAGAGAGAGTGATAGGCGTGAGTGTGTGGTGGTGGGGGTGGGGGAAGGTGGGAGGGGGAGAGAGGAGGGGGTAAAGGGGCAAACACAACCCCCTTCCCCTCCTGACTTCTGGTGTCTCATGACAAGCACTCAGCCATCCAGATGGGTCACACCATCGGAACTTGGGGCGGGAGCTGAGTGAGGAGCGAACTCCCGTTGGAGGCCATCAGGTCTCTGGACTCGGCTCCTTCGTTCCTGTAAGGGTTCTCTAGGATATAACGGTACTTGTCAAAGTTCTTGAGGAGATACTTGGGTGCGTACATCTGCTCTTTGGGGTCAGCCGGGGGGTATTCTTGAAGAGTACCGTCAAACCACCCACCGGTCTGTATCAGCTCCCGGATGTAACTAAGTTCCCGTTTCTCCTGATAGTTCCCCCAGCGAGGGAAGTCCCCATTTTGGGCGGACACCAGTTTGTGCCTGATGCCCTCGGGGGTAAAGCACCAGGAGCAATGCCAACCGGCAAAGTGGAGGGCACTGCCAAGAGACCATTGTACCAAAATGTGCCCCGTTGCGTTCTCGTATTGGCGGAAACTGGGCATCAGGTAGTATTCCCGCCTCCGAAGTTTGATCCCGTCTCCCTCGTACACGGACCTCAGCATCCCAACCGTGCAGCCCGCCACCACCTCCAGCGTCCCCGGCTGCTTCCAGAAGAACCCGTAGAGCGACTTGCGCAGGTGGAAGCCGAAGGGTTCGGTCCAGCCGTCGAAGAGCTTGAGGAAGAGGAGGCCGTCACGGGCCGGGATCTCGTCGGCGTCGTTGATGACGAAGATATCGTCCGCCCGCACGCCCACCATCCTCCGCAGCCCGTCCCGGGTCAGGAAGGTGCGGAGGTAGTCGTCGGCGATCCAGCCGTCCTGCCGGCCGCCGCTCGGGAAGTGGTCGAGGAACACGTAGAGGACCTTGTGCCGGATCTGGTCGTAGGTCCCGTTCCTCAGCATCTCCAGGAAAAGCAGGGGTTTGGGGTCGCCATAGGCCGTGAAGTTGGACTCGCAGACCATGAAGACGTCCACCACGTCCCCCAGCTCGTGGAACCTGACGTTCAACAGGTCGAACTCGTGGTTGATGTTGATAGCGTTGATCAGTCTCCTGGGCACCCGTCGGGGGCTCAGACGGTCCTTGGTGGGCAGGTTGGAATACTGCACCAGGGTGGGCACCCCGCAGCTTGGCCCGTGCCAGCCCGGCCTGCACACGCACCCCACCCAACGCCTCCGCCGCCCTTGCCTGGCTTGCGCCCGGCGTGTGGGCTGCCTGTTCGAAGGCCCCCTGCCCTCCTCCGCCGAGCCCGTCATCGAACGCACCTCCCGCTTGGTGCCGTGCTTGAAGCAGACCGCCCCCGCCCTGGTGCGGACAAAGTACTCCGTGCGCTCGTCCCGCATGTGGAACGTGGCACGGTAGGGCTCCTCGGAGCCGGGCGGGGGCGAGGGGGGCAGGGCTGAGAGGGGGGCGGGCTCCGTCTCGGCCTCTCGCAAGGCCACGCTCTCCTTCCACAGGAACTGGGAGTCCACAAAGATGGAGCGGAGCGAAGGCGTGAAGCTGGACAACTCCCTGGAAAAGGTGATGTAGGACAAGGCCTTGAGGAAGTGCATGAAGGAGATGAGACACAGGCCGGCCATTAACAGCACCAACACAATGCGATGACGTCTCATCTTCATTCTACAGCAAGAGGAGAGAGTAACGGTTAATTAAGCTTCGTCAACCCCCCCATCATCCCAGCCCTCTCCAGGCCCTACTGGCTCCCCCTCACCGCAGCCCTCGCCAAGGTCCACTGGCTCCCCCTCACCGCAGCCCTCTCCAGGGTCCACTGACTCCCCCTCACACACACACTATAATAATAATAATAATCCTCGCATTTGACACAGCGCCTTATCACAATGTCTCAAAGCGCTTCACAGGATACACCGTAAAGTGGAGTGACTGTGTGTTTTGTGGGCGAAACGCGGCAGCCAATTGCGCGCAGCGGCGTCGCCACAAACAGCCGTGGATTGAGCGATCAAATTATTACTATTTTTGAAGGGATTATTACCCCCGGAACAGCGATCCCCCAACCGACTAACAACCGGGTTCCCACTGACTGCCGATAAACAGAGGTGTGCGGAGTGTGTGTGTGCGCGTGGAGTAAGGAAACTTTCCCGAACCTTTCGCACCACCTGGGAATCGAACCCGGGTCCTTGCGCTTGTGCGGCGAAGGCTCTAACCACCGAGCCACAGGAACTCCACGCGCACACACCATCGTCAACAACGACGACAACAACACCACCAACAACAACTTACTTGGCGGGAAGGGAGAGAGAGTGAGCGAGCAAGAAAGAAAGAGAGAGAAAGAGAGAGAGAGAGAGCGAGAGAGAGAGAGAGAGAGAGAGAGAGAGAGCGATAGAAAGCCTTCACCTCCTCTCCAGCCTCAGGAGTCAGAAGGTTGTGGGTTCAAGCCCTCGCGTCGGAACTTTGAACTCCCGTCGTCCAGGTTGCCTGGAGACCATTAGGTTCAAGTTGGCGAGAGCCAAGGCGGGTGGGGGGGATGGGGTGGGGTGGGGGGTGGGGGGGGTGAGCGTTGGGGGTAACTGCTGGAGTCCAACCAGCTAAACCCACACACAGCTCGGCCATCGAGAGAGAGAGAGAGAGAGAGAGAGAGAGAGAGAGAGCGCTGTCTGGCCAGGACCACCCTCCCCGTTAGTTAGTCAGGGCTTTGGCTGGAGGGTGAACAGGAGGGGGAGGGGGTGAGGGTGGGGGGACTCTCTGCCCCCAGGGACTGGTTGGCCCTTCCAGGTCCTGCCCGCGAGCCAGATTTTCTAGTGGCAGTTCCCCTGAGCTCCACCAGGTGGCAGAGTTACTCCACGGTCGGTGCCTTCGCGGTGATCGCGATGGGTCTCCCACGGATTATCATCACAATAATCTGTGTCTGTCTGACCCGGCGCCTCGTCACGTTTTCGAGACGTCTCAAAGCGCTTCGCAGGATACACCGTAAAGTATAGTGACTGTGCGTTTCGTGGGCCAAATTGCGGCGGCCGATTGCGCCCAGCGACGTCCCCGTCAGCAGCCGTGGGTTGAGCGACTAAATTATTATTATTATTATTATTATTTCTTTGGAAGGAGTATTATTCCTGGAAAGCGATTCCCCAATCGACTAACCACCGGGTTCCTACTTACTGGGTAAACAGAGGCGCTCGTGTGCGTGCGTGTGCGTGTGCGTGTGTGCGTGTGGGTGTGCGTGGGTGTTGTGTGTGTGTGAGGGTGTGTGGGTGTGTGTGGGTAAGTGTGTAAGTGTATACAATAGAATCCATTAGAGTATACAGCACAGAAACAGGCCATTTGGTCCAACTGGTCTGTGCCGGTGTTTATGCTCCACATGAGCCTCTCCTGCCCTTCGTCAACGAAGCCTTCAAAGCATCACCTTCTATTCCTTTCTCCCTCATGTACCTCTCTAACTTCCCCTTAAATACATCTGCGCTGTTTGCCTCAACAACTCCTTGTTCCACATTCCCTCTACTCTCTGTGAGAAGAAATTCCTTCTTCCTTCCCTACTTGACCTGTTTGTGACTATGTTCTATTGACGGCTCCAGGTTTTGGTCTCCCCCACGAGTGGAAACATCTTCCCTATGTCGACCCTATCCAAACCTTCCATCATTTTAAAGACCTCTATCGGGTCACTCAGTATTCTAAGTGTGTGGAGTAAGGAAACTTGCCCAACGTTGCGCCCCCCGCCCGGGAATGGAACCCAGGTCCTCTGGCGTGCGAGGCGAGGGGTCTAACCCCCGAGCTACAGGTTTAACGTCTCATCTGAAGGATGGCATCTTCAACGATGCAACATACACCTCCTTCCCCGACCTCCTCACTCCCCCCATTCCCCCCCATTGACCGGTCTCCTTGCTCGACCCTCGTGCCCTGCGCCCCCCCCCCCACCATCGGAGGTCACGCTTTCAGCCGCTGAGCCCCCGAAACTCTGTCACCCTCTCCCTCAGTCCCTCTCGGACCTCACCCCGCGCTCTCACCCGGCTCGGAATCAGGCTCCGCCACCGTTGAGTGGTCTGACGCGCTATGCTGCGTGGAGGGGGCCGTTTGAGTTGTTCTCACCGTGATTAAAAGCTCAGGTTATGGTTATCATCGCCCGGAGACACATCCAGAGATTTCGTACAAAATCCTGGGCCGCGAAAACACCTTAAAGAGCCTCTGACTAACGATTAACTGAAAGAATGATTCACAGGCAGCTGGGGGCGGGGGGTGAATGACTGAGCAAAATTCTGCCCCGCAAATCCCTTCACACCTTATCACCCCCCCTCCCTCTCTCCCTCTACGACCTGCTCGCTCCCCACTCCACCCCTCGCTACCTCCTGCTCTGTCTCGCTGCTCCCCCCACTCTTTCAGCCACCGCCTCCCCACCCAGAGGCGGTTGTGTGTGTGCGTGTGTGCGCGTGGTGTGTCTGTGTGTGCGTCTGCGTGTGTGGGGTAAGGAAACTTGCCCAAAGTTTTGCCCCAACCCGACCTGCCCCGGGAATCGAACCCGTTCGCTCGCAAACGAGGTTGAGGGCTTGAACCCCACTGTGAGCTCCGCATACAGCCGAGAAAGAGTGTTAGAGAGAGAGAAAACAAGAGAGAGAGAGAGACGGAGAGAGAGGCGGAGAGAGATAGAGAGAGAGAGATAGTTTTGAGAGAGAGAAATTTCTGCCAACTCAGGAAACAAATCAGTTCAAGTCAAATCCGTGTCACGTTTCAATAAACAGTGACTTTCTGTGGAAGACGGGGGCAGAGGGGGTTGGGGGGGGGTCGATAACAAGCTCTCTGTTGTTCGAACAGTATCCAACGGTTACGTTCTTCACCAGCGTTTAGTTTCAGTGGGTTCTGCACAATGTCTGCTTTGACTGTCCTTGTCTCACAATCCTTGAGTTACATCTCACTCTTTGCCTCTTTCTCTCGGTCAATCTCCCCCGAGAGACAGAGACAAAGAGAGAGAGAGAGAGAGAGTGTGTCAGAGACCGGGAGGGACAGAGAGTGACAGACAGACAAACAGACAGACAGAGAGAGAGAGATAGAGAGAGAGAGTCAGAGACCGGGAGGGACAGAGAGTGACAGACAGACAGACAGACAGACAGAGAGAGAGGGAGAGAGATAGAGAGAGAGTCAGAGACCGGGAGGGACAGACAGACAGACAGACAGACAGACAGACAGACAGACAGATAGATAGAGAGAGAGGGAGAGAGAGAGATATAGAGAGAGAGTCAGAGACCGGGAGGGACAGAGAGAGTGACAGACAGACAGACAGATAGAGAGAGAGGGAGAGAGAGAGATATAGAGAGAGAGTCAGAGACCAGGAGGGACAGAGAGAGTGACAGACAGACAGAGAGAGAGAGAGAGAGAGATAGAGAGAGAGTCAGAGACCGGGAGAGACAGAGAATGACAGATAGATAGAGAGAGAGGGAGAGAGAGAGATAGAGAGGGAGAGAGAGTCAGAGACCAAGAGAGAGACAGAGAGAATGACAGAGGGAGAGAGAGAGCGTCAGAGACCGAGAGAGACAGATAGAGTGACAGACGGTGAGAGAGTCAGAGATAGACAGAGAGACAGCGAGAGACAGAGACAGTGAGAGAGAGACAGGGTTAGGGTTAGAGACAGAGTGAGATCCATATAATAATAATTATTTGTTCGCTCACTCGACTGTTTGTGGGGACGTCGCTGGGGTGCAATTGGCTGCCGCGTTTCGCCCGCGCGTGCAACACACAGTCACTACACCTTACAGTCTAATCCCGTGAAACGCTTCGAGACGTCTGGATGACGTGATGAGGCGCCGGGTCAAACTGCGAGGCTTATTGCATTCTTATTGCCAAACCTTCTAACCCTGAGGTGGGTGAGTCGGTGACTCAATCAGCCTCGCTCGCACTCCCTCCCTCCCTCTCTCTCTCTCTCGCTCGCTCCCCCTCTCTCTCTCTCTTTCTCTCTCCTCTCTATCTCTCGCGCTCGCTCTCTCTCTCTCTCGCTCCCTCTCTCTCTCTCTCTCGCTCCATCTCTCTCCCCCCCTCTCTCTCGCTCTCTCTCTCTCCCTCTCTCTCTCTCTCTCTCGCTCCATCTCTCTCCCCCTCAGTCTCTCGCTCTCTCTCTCTCGCTCCCTCTCTCTCTCTCGCTCCATCTCTCTCCCCCTCTCTCCCCCTCTCTCTCTCGCTCCCTCTCTCTCTCTCTCGCTCCATCTCTCTCCCCCTCTCTCTCTCGCTCTCTCTCTCTCGCTCCCTCTCTCTCTCTCTCGCTCCATCTCTCTCCCCCTCTCTCTCGCTCCCTCTCTCTCTCTCGCTCCATCTCTCTCCCCCTCTCTCTCTCGCTCCCCCTCTCTCTCTCTCGCTCCCTCTCTCTCTCTCTCTCGCTCCCTCTCTCTCTCTCGCTCTCTCTCTCTCTCTCGCTCCCTCTCTCTCTCTCTCTCGCACACACCTGAGGCTAAGGATAGTGTGATGAACTACTGTGTCGATGAGTGAGTCAGCACAGTCTCCCAACAGAGGCTAAGACTTGTGCCTGGCCTTGTCTTGAATATTTGTGCTGTTGCCATCTCTCCCCTCCCTCCCACACACATTCCAGTACCGTTGCCTCTCGCCTTCGCTTAACACAGGAACAACACAGGGACAGGAGGAGGACATTCAGCCCCCTCGAGCCTGTTCCCGCCATTCCAACAGATCACGGCTCGCAATTGCCCCGCATTTACCCCATGTCCCTTGATCCCTGATCTGAGCGAGAGGGAGAGAGAGAGA